TGGCGGTGACAGAGCCTTGTGGGGGAGGGCAGGGCAGGTGCTTTCCCTGCCTCTCTACAGCCGCCCTTTCCCCCTCCAGTGATGAGAGGAGACACTGGGGGCTGCTGTCCCCACCTTGTTGCTCTAGCTGGGATCTGTTGACAGAGGGTTTTATTCTTGAGGCCCCTGATGCGGAGGAGAAATCCTGGCAGAAAGCAGGCTCGAAGCTGAACGAGGAGATCTCCAGTGACTCCGATGCAGAGAGGTAACGCACTGACCTTAAGGCTCCCCGAGCCAGCCATCCTGCAGAGCAGGGCCTAGGAGACCCCTGCACCGTGCTCCCGCGCCCAGTCACTGTAGACTGAGCAGTCCCTGCCGATGGGGGAAAAAAGGCAGGGAGACAAGATGGGACCATGCGGTGCTTTTCTTTGCATGTGCTTAGGATAGTGTTATGGGAGGGGTCCTGGCATAGCCTGTGACATGAGCTTCCCCTGTGGAGTTAAGGACTGTCCCTGCACTATGTATAATACATCCCCGAGCACACCACTGCTCCCTTGGGGAGGGGAGAACGAGTCATTGCTTGGCTATAAAGCACTCAGTGCTACAGCGATACAAGTATCTGCACAGACTAGAACAGTGATGGGCAACCTAGGCTAGCGAGCGGCCTCCTTTATCCTGGTGGACTGCAGGATTGGTGTAGCCAAGACAGTCTCCTGGGGTCGGTTAGTTTTGCTAACCGCACCTCTGTCCCTAGGATTTGTGGGATGGGCCGGCTGAACCGGAGCCGGGCTGGGATTGTGAGAGCCATGTGCTTCCCTCTGCCTGCCCTTGCTTGACGTGTGTGGATTAGAATCTGGTTGTGCATGTCACACTTTGGTCCAAACCAGGCTTTCACGGTCCCCCTGACGTCAAGCCGTGGGGTCAGATGTTGGAGGGGGTGTCTGACACTAGATGGTGGGAAACCCCCCAACCAGGGGCTCACTGGCCCAGTGGGATACTGAGAATTTCCTGGTGGGCCGTCGTGTCCGCATGCCGTTGCCCCTCACTCCGAGCGGCTCTGTGTCTGCACTGTATGCGGCACGCAGAGCCCAACCTGCCGCCTGCGTCGCGTACCGGACATGCTGCAGGGAGCGGGGCTTGAGGGGCACGTAGGGGTGACGTCAAGGGGAGGGCCGTTCTCAACCCGTTTCCCGGGCCTATTTTGATTGCCAGTGCGCTCCTGCCCCCAGCCGTGGCAAACTATGCCCTTAATTAGTTACAAAACTTGGTGCTTGAGGCGCTTCTAAATAAAGTTGCATGGAGTCAGTTTATGTATTTCAACTGCTGTGATTGAATGGCCTCCAGACGGAAAACTGATTTTCTTGACTGGGCAGTAGGCCACCAATGGCCTAGGAAGTGAAAAGGGTGGAGGAAAAGCCCTCCTCCTCCTTGAGATAGTTAAGACCAAAGCAGACTGTGAAGAGCTTCAAAAAGATCTCCCCAAACTAAGCGATTGGGCAACAAAATGGCAAATGAAATGTAACGTTCGTAAATATAAAGTAATGCACATTGGAAACAATCCCAACTACACATACGAGACGATGGGGACTAAACTCATTTAGCTACAACTACTCAAGAGCGAGATCTTGGAGTCACTGTGGAGAGTTCTCTGAAAACATCCACTCTGTGCAGCGGCAGTCAAAAAAGCAAATAGAATGTTAGGAAGCGTTAAAAAAGGGATAGAGAATAAGACAGAGAATATCTTATTGCTTCAATATAAAGCCATGGTACGCCCACATCTGGAATACTGCGTACAGCTGTGGTGAAATCATCTTAAAAAAAGATATATTGGCATTGGAAAAGGTTCAGAACAGGGCAACATAAATGAGGAGGGGTTTGGAACGGGTGCCATATGAAGAGAGATTAAAAAGACTTGGATTTTTCAGCTTAGAAAAGAGGAGACTAAGGGGGGATATGATAGAGGTCTATAAAATCATGAGTGGTGTGGAGAAAGTGAATAAGGAAAAGTTATTTACTTATTTCCATAACATAAGCACTAGGGGTCACCCAATGAAATGAATAGGCAGCAGGTTTTAAACAAACAAAAGGAAATTTGTCGTTACTCCGCGCACAGTCAATCTGTGGAACTCCTTGCCAGAGGATGCGGTGAAGACCAGGACTTTAACAGGGGTCAAAAAGAACTAGATACATTCATGGAGGTTGGGTCCATCAATGGCTATTAGACAGGATGGGTAGGAATGGTGTCCCTAGTCTCTGTTTGTCTGGAAATGACGACGGGAAGGGATCACTTGATGATTCCCTGTTCTGTTTACTCCCTCTGGGGCATCGACCGCTGTGGGCAGACAGGACGCCGGGCTAGATGGGCCTTTGGTCTGACCCAGTGTGGCCGCTCTTGCATTCTCCTGTACCCACGCCCACCTCCCCTCTGTCCCCTGCAGCCCTGCGTTTGGCGGGAAGCGGAAGAAGGACCATGAGGCCGAAGAGATTGAGGAGACCGCCCAGGAGAAGAAGCTGAGATTAGCCAAAGTTTACCTGGAGCAGCTTCGACAGCAGGGTGAGTACCCGGCAGGCTGGGTGCGCCTGGCTGGGCAGTGGTAGGGTGCAGCAGGCTCAGCCCCACGCCCAGGGTCGCAGTGCTCGGGGCTGAAACGTGGTCTCTGCAGGGCTGCGTTGGCCTGATGAAATTTACTCTTGAGTGCAGATCCAATGCCGGGTGTGCGTGCATCGGGGGCAGGCTATGTAGCTTAATGCGTTTACTAGCATGTAAAGCAGAATCCAGTTACGTGCTGGCGGGGCTGAGTGTGGCAACGGGGCGCCCTCCCGCGGGCAGGCCACCCGCAGCAATGTACGATGGTGGAGGAGCGTGGCCTAGCAGCTCTTGCCTCACCTGGCGCCCCCTAGTGGTGTCTCATGCCCTTGCCTTGTGGTTGGGTCAGGCTCCGTCCCGTCTACGCAGGGGTAACAGCGTCAGCGTCAAAGCACCCATCTTTTCCAGGGTCCAGCCTCTGCGGCCTTTGCTCCACCTCCCAGGCTCTGCAGATCTCTCTTGCTGGCTGCCTCCCTGGGCGTCTGGCTCCTCCCAGACCTTTCCTAGAGTCTCTCTTCTCAATGGCCTGCTTTAGGGGGTCCCCTTCCCCCTCTCCCATCAGGAGCCGTTCCAAGGCACAAGGTCCTCTCTGTAGGCTCCTCTCCGAGCCGGGAGCTTCCAACTGCCCCTCGAGGGGATCCTGGACCACCTCCTAGTCTCCCCCCAGAGCAACTGCAACGTTTCTCCCTCCAGCCACCGTCTGCTCCTGGCTTCCCCTCTTATAGCCCCGCCAGCTGGGCTACAGCTTCAGTTCAGCCTGACCCACCCCCCAATTGGGTTAATGGGCCGTTCCCTGTCACATTGGCCTTCTCAGGCATGTAGAGTGCCTCTGAAGACCAAAATCTCCAGGCTGTGGTGGGGGCAAAGCATTGGCGAGAGAGGATCTAGACCAGAACTGCCTAGAAGCTGCCTTGTCTAAAAGCTTCCACTCCCTGCTGTTTGCCTGGGCAGGTCTGGGTGCCTGTCTTGGCCTGGTGCCCCTGCCTGGAGAGGGGTCCTTTTTAACCTTCTGGCAGCTCTTGTTTCTGGGCACTGACCCTTGTGGCCAGTTGTCCCATAGGCTCAGCTGGGAGGGAGCCAGAATCATCAAAGCACGAAGGCCAGACCTTGTCCCTTAACAGCCCTCGAGTGTTTGCCGAGTGGTGACTTAGCTCCTCTTCTTTGCTGTGGTTTCGCAGGCCGCTGGGTAAACCGGCCATTGGTTAATTACCCAAATGTACCCCGTCTCTCTAGCTGGAACGCGTTGGACCATCATCCTTTGCCTGTAATGGGAGCGAAAGACTTTTTAACGTGTTCCAGATCAATGTCGGTGGCTTGTACTGAATCTGCTAGGCACACCTGCCTCGCTCTGATGGGTAGAGCAAGGGTCGCGTTACCGCTGTCTGGGGCACGCGTCTGCGGGAGTCTGGCAGTGAGATCGAAGGCCTGTAGCGCCTGGTCTTGCATCTGCTCCAGTTTGCTGTGCTGGGGGCAGGCGGCCGCCCCGGCGTTCGGCCGCGTTCACGCCAAGCCCTGGTTCCGTTCGCCGTGGGTCTGACGCAGCCGCCGGCGGGCACGGGGGACTTGGCAGG